ACACATGGGTCAATTACATGACAATATTATTTCCCTGATATACGAGTTGCTTTTTTAATGAATAAATGAATGAATTAAATAAAATGTAATAATTTGACCTCTTTATAATAAGATAGGGCTGGGTGATATGGCCAGAAATATTAGCACAATATTTTTTTTCCATATCATACAATATTGATATTTACCATTTAATTGTTTCTAGATTCTGTGTTTTATGATTCAATACAAGTTTATCATAAAAAATGGTGTCTAATGAAATGAATAAAACGTTAACAGTTTGATCATTCTTTTAAAATGTAATCAAATGAAATTCATTTACAAGAAATCATTGCATTTTTATTGTCAAGCCAGATGCTCCACAACATAACTGTATAAATGAATGGAAAATACCTTGGTTGTATGATATTCCTTAAAAATAATATTATTACTATTATTAATTTGAGAATTATATTTTATTATACAATAGTAATATCTTTCTGACATAATTTCTTCAAGTTAAACCAGACTTTTATTTTGACGTGTTGTCGTGAAGGTCTTTCAGTTTTAGTGTGTATTTGATGGTAGTTTTTTCTCAAATGAAACAGTAGCTGGGTTTCCATCACCCGGCTTTTATGTGCATTTTGAAGTATCGCATCAGAATCGAGAAATGGAAACGCTGAATTTCGCATACAAATGCCTTAATTCGCTAAAAAGTTTTTACGCTCACTTGAGGTGGCTTTTGACTTGTGCGAAAAAGGGTTAATGCGAATAACGGGAGATGGAAATGCATTTTGCGAATAAATTCCTCCAAGCACATCAAAAAAGTCATGTGACTGCGCTATGGGACGGCAAATCCTGACTAACCAGTGGACCGATCTTGTTCCACAGCATCTGAAATGTTGTTATATGGTCATTCGGAAATGCCCGAGCAAAGTCTGTCATCAAAGTATTTCTGTATAATTGCCTCCCAGAACTGTTAAACGACTGCGTTCCCAAACAGCAGCATCCACCTCCGAAAGCAATAACCGCATTCATTGTGTTTCGTCTGCTCATTCTGAGGTGCAAGCAATTTATTATATAGCAAAGTTATTATATTCAGTAGCTTCTCCTACTTTTCTTAGTGATGTATAGTGCCAGTTTATCAGGAAGTGATGATTTTGTTCTCTTTGACTCGTTGGATGGAAACGGTGCTTGTTCGCAAATGTTTTGTGCGATATTACAATTTTGCGCATAAGTTAAATTCGCAACTTTGGATGGAAACCCGGCTAGTGTAACAACATGCAGACTTATTTGCCGCATGCACTGACTTGCTGCTGTCGCCTTTATTTCTGCTGTGTGATAGACTGCAAGATTAATCCATATCAAGTAAAAATGGCCAGAGCTTATGATTATCGACATTAATTTATATATATATAACAACGTTAAATACGATTCTTTCAACAAGTAGAATATATTCCATTAGTAAACACAACTGAATAAGCAACTGGAATAAGCCTTTCACCTTTATTCCATTAAAGTTATCCACAGCCAGAATGGTGCTTCTTTGATCTTCATAGCACAGGAAGCAGAATCCTTTGGATTTGCCCGTCTTTTTATCTCGCACCAAATTGACGTTGGCAATCTCTCCGTACCTGACATGCACAGAGGAGGATTAAGCTTCACTAGGAGAAAAAAAAACTGAAGTACTGACTTCTTTAGCAAGAAGTTTAAGACGTCTTTGAAATGTAGGGGAAAACATGGGTATAATAATAATAATAATTCGTTGCATTTATATAGCGCTTTTCTAGGCACTCAAAGCACTTTACATTGTCAGGGGGTATCTCCTCATCCACCACCAGTGTGCAGCATCCACCTGGATGATGCGACGGCAGCCATAGTGCGCCAGAACGCCCACCACACACCACAAACTTCAGTGATGAAGCCAATTAACAGATATGGGGATTGTTAGGAGGCCATGATGGTCAGAGGCCAATGGGCAAATTTGGCCAGGATGCCGAGGTCACACCTCTAGTCTTTTCGAAAGACATCCTGGGATTTTTAATGACCACAGAGAGTCAGGACCTCGGTTTAACATCTCATCCGAATGACGGTGCTTGTTGACAGTCTAGTATCCCCATCACTATACTGGGGCATTAGGACCCACACAGACCACAGGGTGAGCACCCCCTGCTGGCCTCACTAACACCTCTTCCAGCAGCAACCTAGTTTTCCCAGGAGGTCTCCCATCCAGGTACTGACCCGGCTCAACCCTGCTTAGCTTCAGTGGGCAACCAGTCTTGGGCTACAGGGTGATATGGCGGCCAAGCAATTAGGACTTACTGAGAGAATACACAGATGATGTCTCCTTCTGTCAGCTCATATGGAATTCCACCTGCAGATAACAACATATTTACATACAGTGCTGACTGGATTGGCATTAAATAAAGAAAGAAAAAAAATGTCACGTCACATTTTTGAAACAGTACTCTTTAATCTGGCAAATAAATGTGAGATCAAATCAATGAATTTACATCACTTTGAAATTTGACGAGGACAAATAAGCATCACTGTACGGTGTACTAGAACCGGATTCAGAGGAAGACTGAGATCATGCCATTTTGTACAGCAGCACACATTTAGTGTGAACCCGGTGAATGCTGCCACCATCTGGCATTATCTCCAACCCTGCTCCTGGAGAGCTACTTCCCTGCAGACTTCAGTTCCAACACACCTGTCAGTTATTTTCAAGTAACTCTGAAGACCTTGTATAGCTGGTTGTGGTGTGTTTGATTAGGGTTGGAGATGAAATCTGCACGACGGTAGCTTCCAGGAGCAGGATTGGAGACCCCTGGCCAATCCAGAGAGCATTTTAGTGTATATGAAGCCCATTGCCGAATATTGTTTAGTTAGACAGTCAACTGGGTTTTGGCCCACAGCCATGATTTTAACCAGTCACTCACCGAGAAAGATCCAGGCGCTCTCCTTATAGACTGAATGCCAGGACACACTGTCTTTGACATCTAGTTCAGCCTCTTTTTCATTCAGTTCATTGATGAGTTTCACTTTGGTGAGCGGACTACATATAAATAACAGAGATAATGAACATGCATTTTATTCTGTACAACATTTATTGTCTCCAATATTGTTATTCTGTTGTGGAGTCAGCATCATAAGATCAACGTGTATAAGAATTTATGATTCTTCAATCAGGGGCACTTATGACAGCCTGAAATCTTGAAGAATGAAATTTCTTCAAATTATGTTTTAACATTTTATCACAAATATTTACTTATGGCAATAAAGTAACCTCTAATAATGTAATAAGGACTACTTCTTTTGACTATTTATGCCAAAAGAGTAGGCGTCTTAGTGTTTTACATTGACCCATTTAATTTTCTTGTCATTTGTCGGGGTCCTATAACTTAATCAAAAAGAATAACTGAATCGAGAATAAGAAAAGTAGTTTACGTTCAAGTTTTAGCAGATGGATAATTAGCATTTGGCTACTGTTGCAAGAACTGGGCTTTAAAACTTTAGCTTTCACCTTATGGCATTTCCTGTTCCAATCCTGTCGAGTCTAGTAATTTTCTTGGACTAATTAGAAACTTATGGCAACAAATGTAAGCGACATATTTCAATACAAACATTCAAAACATCACTTACTTCATCGTGATGAGCCGCAGTCACTCCGGAAGGATTCTTCTTCTTCTTTAGTTTTTTTTTTGGCGCATAACAATCTAAATGTATAGCGCCACCTACAGTACGATGCTGTTGTGCAGTCACGTTATCTATTATCGTCAAAATGACTTATGAACATAACAAAACAAATGTTGGAGGGGGGAGATAATAAAAAAAAAATAAAAAAAAATATTATAATTCTCCATAAATTTGAAACTCTTCCCTTTACCAGATTCCCAGGTTCCAGGGACCCATCTGCGTCTCCAGCTCCTCCAGAACACTTCCCTGGTTCCCTAAAATTCAGATCAGGCTACAGCATCCCAGATTGTTTTTAAATCCTCTCGCTCAACCCTGTACTATATATGTATTTTATTAGCAGCCTATATCCTACTATTCCGGAAGGATTTATTTCCACTGGCGAGTTTCGTAGTTCGCAGGTGGTACTACTTTCTTCCGGGTTAATGAAAAGGATTGTGGGATATGTAGTTGACTGACTCAGATTACTTGTGCAGTTTCTACTTTCTAGTTTCTATTTTGTGTTTGTAACTTAAAGTGTATTTCTCAAATTTTGCAATTAATTTTACAACTGAAGGACAAATGAACATATAAAGCATACACTGATAGTTTTATTTGCATAAAAGCTGTTCAATAATTTAAAATAGTAGCCTAATCCGGACACCAGTGGCAGGAACACTGGCAGTGTGAGAGGCCTTGACAGGGAGCTTTGGGTGATATTATTTAAAATATGTTTGGGTGGCACAGAACTTACCTATGTCCACTTAAACTAAAACCTAACTAACTTAAACTAAACTAAATATAATACACATCACTATGCAAGTAGTCCCGCAAGATGCTAAAACTATCGCATCAAGCCAAGGCGCCAAGTGAAACCAAGGCCTGCCAGCCACGCAAGACTGGAGGGATGGAAGAGCCACGCATGTCAGCCTGCCAGTCGCAAGGCTGACCTTCTTCACCATGGCCTACTGGGGGACCTGAAACAATTAGAAATTTTACAGATTAGACAAACATATTTCATAAAGTATAAAAATACAAAGTTTGTTTTACCACTGCATATTTATTTTGCCATCACTTTACTCTGACTGCATTTAATTTTAGTCTATGAAAATAATATTACGATTGGCTTTTCTTCTTCTGCTCCACATGGTCATCCTGAGCCTTGGTTGATTTGGGGCGGGACAACAAAAGAAATAGCCAAGCCTCCGAAACCTACTTGTGATCGGTGGGTGTGATTGGCCCCGTGCACACACTCCTCTCATCGCTCATTTCTCTCTACGAACTCTGGCCCTCAAGGTCCACTTTCCTGCAGAGTTTAGCTCCAACCTTGATCAAACTCTCCTGCCAGTAACTTTAGTAATGCTGAAGAACTTGATGAGTTTGTTCAGGTGTATTTGATTAGGGTCGGAGATAAATTATGCAGGAAAGTGGATCTCAAGGGCCAGAGTTGAGAACCCCTGGGGTCTGTACCATGATGGTAGATGAGCAAATTCAGAGTTAGAGGGTTAGTTTTGAGTTGACAAAACCAAACCACTCCAATCCGGCTTTGTTGGTACCATGATGCTGATCATCAACTTTCTTTGTCAACTCAGGTTTTGATCCTGAGTTTGTGGAGCGTGTGCACATCAGTGGCAAACAGCCAATCACATGCCTTGCAATACAGAGCAAGTGTGATGCACGTATTTGCAAGAGAACCATCGAGATTCAAAACTCTATTCTTAAAGGTTAAGAGATCAAAGAATATGAGGAATATAAATGCATTTACACTGAAGTCTAAGGTACTTTATAGTGACCTTTAATTTGGAGGAAGAGAAACTGGGGAAGTGACTTTTTTTGCGTCAGACATGTGTCACTTTGCTCACATCTGTTTGGTCCAATTTCAGTTTGAAATCTCTTACCTAGAACATAACCTGCCCTGGAGCAGGTTAGCCGTGGAGTGTAAGTTACTATGGCAATGAACGCCGCTAAAAGCCAAGCCACTTTCATGATATCTAAAACCCAGGATTGGTGCAAACTAAACTGAAACTTACCTGGCTAGCCAGCTAATCTGGCTTCATGGTACAGGCCCCTGGTCTACGAGATAATCGTTGTCCCATGGTCAACATGATAAAACGCTATCAACAACTGTATACACACTGTAAACGAGTTTCATGCTTTATATAGTCCAGTGTCAAGTTTTGAAACTCTTGGAATTCAGCTTGTACAGATACAAACATTAAAACTATATATTTAATAATGAATGCAATTCGTATATGTGCTTGTGTTAAAAATATTTAGATACATATAACGTGTATACATTCAGAGTAAATGTAAACATTTTTCTTATATAATTTAAGCTTTTAAACTTAGGCTATTAAGCTTTGTGTGGTTCAAAATGTATATTATTAGTAGAACTGTAGTAGTAGTAGTAGTAGCAGTAGTATTCAGTAAGATAATTTAGAGATTTAGATTTAATATTTAACACAGCACTTAACTGCTAATGTAATGATATTTTAATGTGATGTAATGTGCTGAACCTGTAGTTGTAGTTTTTTTTTTGGTTCATTGAGACTCACTGGCCGTTAGATGTTTATTTAATTCACCTGAAGAAGTGGCTGGTGGGAAGTGGTTGTGTTTCCCTTTCAGAACCACATGATGGAGGCAGACATCGCTTTCAATACCTTTCGGAATTACCTTTTTAACAGAATAGGTTTCTTCCTTGAATCAGAACATACTGGAAAATGTCCTCTACAAATAGCTACAGTATATACATTTTTATGTAAGTGTGATATCAGTGTTTAGGTCAATATGACATTTTATTTTATTTTATTTTACCAATTGTACTTTGCTAATTTTTTTCTTTTTCTTAAAGCTAATCTTTTTTTTCTACCAGCAATGTTAGATGTTTAAGAAGAGAAACATTTTCAATTGAATTGTTACAATTTATTTATATAGGGCTGTTCAAAATTAATATTGCACATAAACATAAACAGACATTTTATTAAAGGGGCTCTGTCATAACCCCCAGTGGGCAAGATGACTATGATGATGAGAAACCCTCTAGAAACATAAACACAAATAGTGTTTAATTTATTACAGTCATTTTACAATTGGAAAAAAAAGTGTAAATAGGAACCAAATGCTTTGGATATATTTGGAACGTAATGTGTTCATTGCAGGCAGAAAAGGAAGCAAATAAAGTGGCGTCTGTTGTATGTGGGCAGATGCTCTGTGCTCCACCTCCATTAAGGCAGTGTTTCTCAACCAGGGGTCCGTGGACCCCTAGTGGTCCTTGACGTAAGGCCAGGGGGTCCGTATAAAGTATGAATTTTTTTATAAATGTTGTATATTTTGACATGACATGTTCCCATGAAAGAAAAAACCAATATAGCTGATGACCAAATACTGGACTAACTTGAATTATACTTGACTGCATTTGGTCCTCACAATCTATTGGAAATATTTTCCGGATGTTGTTCCGGAATTGTGACAGACCTACTGTAATTTAACGGGGTGGCTATCATCTTGTCATGAAACATTACTGCCTTAGTGACAGTCGGGTGGTCTGTGTGGCATCTGTCTGCTGTCTCAGAGTGTGTCACAAGACACAACCTGACTTTAATATGAGCGAATATCTCAAAGATCTGGTTCCTCACCTCTCGCTGCCAGCAGGCATAAACAAGGGGATTTATAAGGGAGTTTGAGAGTCCCAACAGCCAGAGATGGTTCTCCAAAAAGTGATAAAGTTTACAGGTTGGACATGATGCCTGCACAATACTGACCACAAAAAAAGGGCACCAGCAGAGCGTGAAGCAACCAACCAGCATGGCAACAGTCCGCAGGGCTTTTACGTGACCCCAGTAACGGCTAGCCGTCAGAAAGCGTAAACCTGCTTGCTGGGCACGGATGCGCTTCTGGTGGCCACATGCAATTTTCAGGATGTCCATGTAAAAATAGATGAAGACCGAGAGCAGTGGAAAGAAAAAAAGGCAGAAGACCACAATGATGCTCTTGGGCTCTATGACGGAGAAGAACGTGCAGAGCTTGTGATAGTCTTCCCTCTGCAACTGTTTCAAAATGCTGGGTGAAAATCCCACAGACATTGAGATGAGCCAGATGGGAACCAGAGCCCCAGCAATCATCTTATTACTCATTAACTGCAAATAGCGCAGAGGCAGCTTTATAGCTACATAGCGGTCCAGTGAGATCAAGAACATGGTTAGGATGGAGGCTGCGGTGGGTGGAATGATAAAGGTCATGCGCAACAAACAAATGTCCTTCTCCATGGAGGCTGTCTTTCCTTCGAGAGCATCAGTGGCAATGCCAGTGATAGCCACACCAACTAGGATGTCCGCAATGGATAGGTTTAAGACAAAACACCAGCTCTGGCAGCCCCTCTTGCGGATGAGCAGGACCAGGGCAATGGCGACTAAAAGGTTGGTGGAGATAATAAAAATGGATCCCACACTAAGAATATATCCCATGGCCACTACTTCTCTTTCTATCACAGCAGGGGTTGTGAGGTCTGGACTGGGTGATGTCACTACGTAGTTCTCCCTCATAGTTGATCCTACCAAGGATGTCTCCTGACTCTGAGTCACATTAAAAGCGATCATTGTTGCATCAAATGTAATTTTTTTTTTCAACGTTGATAAGAACTTTAATAGTTTAAATAGATACTGGTGGTTTTAAGAGGAAGAAATGGACACAAAGAAATGTTCTTTTCTTAGATTGGGAAACACAAAACATATTCCTCCTTCTGCTGCTGTAGTTTCATTTGTCCGCCCCTTGTTCTGTCTGGCTGTCATCCAGGTCCCATCAGAGCGTACTTCCTACTGGAGGCGGCTATATCCATGAAAATGTGATTATTTTGAATTTAGAACCTAACGCACAAAGACATTGGTGATCTATTGATCAAATCTTTATCCTTGACTTTTGAAATATTCTCAGGATACTTCTCAGATTTTTAAGAGTGTTCCTTGCCTGAAAAAGTGATGAGAAGCAGATTAACTCCTTTCTCATGAAAATCCAATCTCATCGTAGTGGAAAAGTCCAATAAATTCAAAAGAGAACATATTTCAACTAAAGTCCAGAAGAAGGATTCCAAGTGAGTAGTCATTCTGGCATCTCTTAGTGCATCTTTTAGATTTGGATGGCTTTAGGATGAAGACAAACGATCATTTCTTTCTTTTTAAATGAGTTGATGTGCCCGTGTCTGTTTTGTTGGTAAATCTGAGAAGTTTCTCTATCAGCATGGGATCAGTCTAACTTTGAACAAACTAAAAGGGGGAAGAGAAACCGATGAATATGAAGAGGGGGTTGGGTTTGGAAAGTGGGCTGGGAGGTGGGTGGACACTAACAGCATGACTGTGATTACTCTTGAGTGAACAAACTCTGAATAAACAGAAGTGCTCATAGGTCAATAAATGTTTAACATATCCAAACTCTTTTACATTTTATCATTGGAGGCAGGGTCAGTGCACAGATATGGATATATTTTGGAAACAAGACAAATCAGTCACATTGATCCCACAAGAATCCTCTTCAACTTCCCTCTGGGGTCATGAGAATGAGTCAAAGCCCTCAAGTACAATGGACTTAAAATCACACAAGTACAATGGACTTTTAACAACCTGCACATAGCCGTTCATACCGAGGAAAGATCTGGCAGTGCTATACAATAAAGCCAGAGTCCCACTGGTCAACTACTAGACTGTTCACTGCTATTGAAAGTGGATTTTGGTCAGCAGTTGTTGTGCCCACTGCTGCACTCTGCCCACAGAAAGCTCCTGGATGCGGTTTGTGCTGAACTGTGCCCACCCCTCAACTTCACATCACTGCCCATCTTTACCTTGAGCTGCCCAAACAAGGAACATATTGGGCTCTTTTGAAAGGAATACTAAAGATTGTTCAGGTTGTTGAGAGCACTGAGCAGAAGATGTCTTTAAAGCGGAGGCTGCTTTCCATGTTGCTGTGCTGTGCGCACTGTTTGGCATCACTCTTCTGCCTTCACCCTGACAGAAACAACTGTGTGTCAAATGGTGCCCGGTGAGTTTTTGGTTATTTTTATTTTGTTAAGTTAGTCTGTAGGGTTCAGGGGACATTTGGGTTTGGAATTTATATTATATATATATATATACTGTATATTTTATAATATATATTTTTTTAAATCTTAGACATATTATATTATACTAAATGGCAATACATTGTACCAGCTACAATGTAAAAAAAAATTCTGTAAAAATACAGTAGCAACATTTTAGGTTTTAACTTAAATTTACAGTTAAATACCGTAATTTCTTTAACTGATATAATGTTAATATACCAACCTGTTGAAGTACTGAAATCTGTTTTGTACCTTTGTAATACACCGATAACCACCAAAAGCAGGTGGTGATGAGAAATTCACATGATGAACCAAAGCCTATAACAAGCAGCTTTTAAAGGGGTCCTATTATGCTCTTTTACAATGTCTTGATTTTGTTTTGGGGGTGTACTAGAACATGCTCTCATGCTTGGTGGTTAGGGTTATTTTTCAACTGCCCGGGGAGCAGTTGGGGGTTCGGTGCCTTGCTCAAGGGCACCTCAGTCATGGTACTGAAGGTGGGAGAGTGCTGTACATTCACTCCCCCCACCTACAATCCCTGCAGGTACAAGATTCGAACCTGCAACCTTTGGGTTACGAGTCCGACTCTCTAACCATTAGGCCACGACTTCCCACAAATGCTCAGGAACAGAGTTTCCTGTAGCGCAGCGTGGCTTTAAAATTCAAATACATTATTTTCTATGAGTGTAGGCACACAGGCGGCGCGGTTCGGCGTCTGTCCGTCTGTCCGAGCTACGTTGTGTTATATTTGTAAGAATTGTTCTAGACCAGCGGTTCTCAATCCCAGTCCTCGCGTACCCCGCTCTGCATGTTTTGCACGTCTCTCTTTGTTAACACACCTGATTCAGATCATCTAGTTAGAAGTGAGCTCCGTGCATGAACTGTGTACAAACTCTGAATAAACAGAAGTGCTCATAGGTCAATAAATGTTTAACATATCCAAACTCTTTTACATTTTATCATTGGAGGCAGGGTCAGTGCACAGATATGGATATATTTTGGAAACAAGACAAATCAGTCACATTGATCCCACAAGAATCCTCTTCAACTTCCCTCTGGGGTCATGAGAATGAGTCAAAGCCCTCAAGTACAATGGACTTAAAATCACACAAGTACAATGGACTTTTAACAACCTGCACATAGCCGTTCATACCGAGGAAAGATCTGGCAGTGCTATACAATAAAGCCAGAGTCCCACTGGTCAACTACTAGACTGTTCACTGCTATTGAAAGTGGATTTTGGTCAGCAGTTGTTGTGCCCACTGCTGCACTCTGCCCACAGAAAGCTCCTGGATGCGGTTTGTGCTGAACTGTGCCCACCCCTCAACTTCACATCACTGCCCATCTTTACCTTGAGCTGCCCAAACAAGGAACATATTGGGCTCTTTTGAAAGGAATACTAAAGATTGTTCAGGTTGTTGAGAGCACTGAGCAGAAGATGTCTTTAAAGCGGAGGCTGCTTTCCATGTTGCTGTGCTGTGCGCACTGTTTGGCATCACTCTTCTGCCTTCACCCTGACAGAAACAACTGTGTGTCAAATGGTGCCCGGTGAGTTTTTGGTTATTTTTATTTTGTTAAGTTAGTCTGTAGGGTTCAGGGGACATTTGGGTTTGGAATTTATATTATATATATATATATACTGTATATTTTATAATATATATTTTTTTAAATCTTAGACATATTATATTATACTAAATGGCAATACATTGTACCAGCTACAATGTAAAAAAAAATTCTGTAAAAATACAGTAGCAACATTTTAGGTTTTAACTTAAATTTACAGTTAAATACCGTAATTTCTTTAACTGATATAATGTTAATATACCAACCTGTTGAAGTACTGAAATCTGTTTTGTACCCTTGTAATACACCGATAACCACCAAAAGCAGGTGGTGATGAGAAATTCACATGATGAACCAAAGCCTATAACAAGCAGCTTTTAAAGGGGTCCTATTATGCTCTTTTACAATGTCTTGATTTTGTTTTGGGGGTGTACTAGAACATGCTCTCATGCTTGGTGGTTAGGGTTATTTTTCAACTGCCCGGGGAGCAGTTGGGGGTTCGGTGCCTTGCTCAAGGGCACCTCAGTCATGGTACTGAAGGTGGGAGAGTGCTGTACATTCACTCCCCCCACCTACAATCCCTGCAGGTACAAGATTCGAACCTGCAACCTTTGGGTTACGAGTCCGACTCTCTAACCATTAGGCCACGACTTCCCACAAATGCTCAGGAACAGAGTTTCCTGTTTCCTGACATTATCCGCTTTCGGAAGTGAAAAAAAAAACAGCGTTTCAGGCAGTCGCACACCGGACGAGAAGCGCAGCGTTGTGCCACGGCTTTAAAATTCAAATACATTATTTTCTATGAGTGTAGGCACACAGGCGGCGCGGTTCGGCGTCTGTCCGCGGCGTCCAGCTACGTTGTGTTATATTTGTAAGAATTGTTCTAGACCAGCGGTTCTCAATCCCAGTCCTCGCGTACCCCCCCTCTGCATGTTTTGC